AGTCATCACAAGCATGCCTTGCTTTTAAACAAAAAAAATTTTTTGAAAAAACAACAAAAACTAGTACTGATCACTTTTCTGACAATACACAATTACTCAAAATTAACTAGTACTGGGAGAGGAAAGGGGGGGGCCATACCTATGGGCCTTGTCTCACACAAGTGCATGTGGGTAGGTGCAGGGCATTTGTCATTATTGCAAATACGAATTTTAATTTTTAATCTTTAGTTTGATTTAAACATTGCTTTTAGTATGATGCCGACACCAGCTGTGCAGAAAGGGCTCTGGAGAGATGTTCATAGCAGCACACACCTGCGGCTCTTCTTCGGTTCTGGAGGCTCCAGGGCAGCCAATATTGCTTCATCAAATACATTCTTTAGGCCTTTCTGAAAAGGGGTAGAAAGAAAAAATGGGCAGTCTGATTTTCAGTATAATAAAGTTGGAGTTCAAATTTAAAACATTCAAACCCCCAAGAGTTGGCAAAGAAAGAAACATTAAAAACCCTGAATCTCAACACAATAATCTCACTTCACCAAGTTTTGTCCAGGCAGGGCACTGGAAGGATTCAGCAATTCAGAAGCAGAGGAGCAGATATTCATGAGTAAGACAGTGGTCCTTTGACAAAGCTTTTGCAGACCAATGTATGTCACAAGAAGCAAACAAGTACATGTGCCATCTGCTCATTCAATGGGTTTTGTAATGTGTTGCTGAAACATTTTACATAAAAACAAGAGAAGCAGCTCTGCATTCAAATGAAACAGCTGGATATGAAACAGGACTGAGAAGACGGGCATGGGGCAGTGGCATCCTTATTGTATGGAAGGCACAGGCAAAGTGAGCATGATTATGGTAGCTGCAAAGATACTCAGTTTGAACTCCCTTTATCCCACCAAATTAGAACCAAGGGGATTCAAGGAGGCAAAAATGTGGGTACCTGATACTTATGTAAAATTAGAGCCAGTCAGTGCAACAGGAATAAAGCTTCATCAGGCATTTATACAAACAATTGTATATTTTTAATTTCAAAATTTGAAGGTAACCACAATTGTGTTTCCCTCACAATAAAATCAGAAGCAGGAAAATATAAAGGTGGCAGCTTTACATCTCAACATTAACAAACCTTAAGTCAACTGTTAAAATGGGGGCTATTCTTAAAAGATAATGTAACAAATGAACTCATAAAGCAGTAGCAGATACATCGATATCTTCCCCATCCCAGACTGACAAATACTCCACTATAGCACAGACAGCCAAAGCAATAGCAACACAAAGTTTCACTGCACAAAGGAAAACCAGGAAAGAATTCTCCCTTCCCCATTACACCCTACTAGCGGGTCACCCTTTTTCCATAAAGTTTGTCATGCAATTACAATTAACAATTGATCATAAAAGTAAAATGATGTTTGTGTTACTTTCTCCATCTAGAACTGAGATCTAGAAGTGTTAGCACTCTTCTTATTTTCTCCAACAGGACATTCTTAATGCCAGACCAAGTTCCCTTTTGCAATAGTGATCCAAACCAAAAAGCTCTGAGCATCAGGCAACTCAAGAAGCAGAAAGTTAAACAAGTCCAACTTAACTACTGATCACAAAAAATATTCTATCAGATATTGCATTCTTGATCAAAATCTAATACAGAGTTTGCTCTAAGGTGGTGAGTAAAAAGACGCAGAGGCTTTCAAACAGCATGGTTTTATTCCTTTGTTTTTAAACGCTCTTTCTACAGTAGTGGGACAGGAAGCAGCAGCAAAGAGGGGAAGGAGAAAACAGTTTAGAATATACAGCACTTCCTTTTGGGTTGAGTTTCCGGAGGCTCGAGGGCAGCTAGGATAGCCTCATCAAACACATTCTTCAGACCTCTCTACAAGACAGAGGGGAGGAGAGAGAATAGCAGCCAGGTTAGAGGATTAGAAAGACTAGCAGATACAACAGCAGTCTGGATTAATGAGCTGAATTCACAGAAGCAATGTGCTGTAAGAAAAACAAATGCCAGAATGCTAGATCTTAAACCCACTATTGGGAGAGTAGATAATAGAAACTTCACCTCAAAAAAGGTTAATTGAGCAAGAAAGCAATTTTTATGAAAATGCAGTATGTTGGCTTCTATTACACACTGAAACCTAACATTACAACATTTTAGTGAAAATAATGCCAAGAGAAGAAAAATAGATATGTAAGCACAAGATACACACATCTGATAATTAAGCCTTGCAGAATATCCCAGTATTTCTACGATAAGAATGACATACACATTTTGGAAATAAATCTATTACAATTTCAGGCTTATGTGAATTCAGCCCCTGAATAACTGAAGGACACAAATAGCAGACTGACAGGCATGCTACCTGTTTCTAGGTTCAGTGACATATCTGGATGGGATTAATCAGGATTTCAGAGTAACTTGGTTTCCCAAAACAAAAAGTTAGATATTTAGAGTGTTAAATGTGCGACAGTACCAACTGAGAGGAGTTTAAAGGACTCTAGAAACAGCATACACTTCAGTTATTCAGCAATGTTATTAGCGCAAGTAACCACCACCCAAGTCATAAGAAAACAAAGAATAGAGTCCTAGGATGAGTTATAGCAAGCAGTCCAATGCTTTAAGATGTCTGCATGGGTATCAGAGCATAAAGCATGGAGTGAAAACAAAGAATATTCTCAAATCTACAGGGATTATGATGCAGAAATACACTTACACCTCAGCCAGAAACTCCAACGTGACAGTGTGACTCAGTAGTAGTGGTACCTTGGGCCCAGGTCTACAGGCTTACCTAAACCCACATAAATCTGAAGCCACAGGTTTACCACCCAAAGGAGTTTCACATGCACTTTAGGTCAGTTTGACCCCAAGTAAAATGTCCCAAAGTCCCAGAATACATCTCTAATAGTAAGTGCCAAACCTTGACTACCCCAGGTATTCCCACCCCCACCCTACCTCCACCATGGCATCACAGAGGACTGGTACACACTCATCCCATTAGATATGAAATAAATGAGAAATAGTAGTAAATAAAAGAAGCAACAGGCTAAAAACTTTCTTCCTTCCACATCATTTACAAAGTAGAAATGCTATACAAAAGTTAAAGTTCCTCTACAATTCTTTCTAGTCATCCAGGAACAAACTCATAGTCAAATATGAAAGGAAGGAGGGAGGATGGGAAGGGAAATATACTTCATAAGGGAAAAAAGAGGAGGAGGACCATTAGAAAGTAGGGTGTATCCCTTAACAAGAAGCAAATCCTTTTTTGCTTCTCGTGGACAGAGATCAACAAATACCCTATGAAAAAATTAATCTTTGCTTTACCCACTATGTGTTTATATAGAGTTTAGTTTTAGAAAAATAAGCAGAATTGGGAGTCCTAAAAGTTCTAGCTCCCAAACATAACCACAGACCCTATTTTGTACCTTTCTCCTTTTCTGACTTCTCCAAACTTCAAAATCTGGTAAGAAAAAAGTACCTGCTAAAACCTTTTAAACTTCCTATTCTCTGCAAAGTAATTTCCTATATAAACCTGTTAACGTTATAAAAATCTTAAAAGAAACATCCAGTTATCTAAAACAAGATTCACCAGTAACCTAAAATTGGGTCCACATGGCCTACTTGCCTCCATTTCCTTAAAAGCAGTCCATATCTAGAGAAGAGGGGTATGCAACAGATGCACGTAGGATTAGTATCTAACTCTGACATGGATGTTCTGCACACTTTCTCCTTTCCCCCCTCCCCCACCTTCATTATGCACACACAGACACACTTTTCTGGGGATGGCATCAAAACAGAGAAGCAACAGACATTTTTTTTAAAATCTCAGTGCTGTGTGTAAGAAGTTGTAAACCTTCTGAATTTTTAAATATCTGCTTTTACAATGGCACTAAACTGACAAGAAAAACTGTTAAGGAGAATGCGTTTAAATCATCTGATATTAGGCCTTGAAGTCAGCCTATGGATAATTTCAGTTATCCAGTTAAGCATAAAAGTTTTATCTTTAAATATCCAACCAAGCACTAAATTGGAGATTATTAAATTATGCACCAGACCCTATATACTAAATACCTAGTGCATACGTAATATATAATTACATGTGCCATTTATCATGGTATACATAATCCATAATCAAGATTCTAATAGTGTTTTAAAAAAAAACTTAATAACAATTACCTGAAAAAGCGAGCATGATAAATATAAGTGGATTCAATATAATTATTAGAAACCTCTACCCTTCAACCCTGCCCTATTTTAATTAGGAACGTTTGGTCATTGTTCAAACATCAAAGCACCAGTACCAGTAGAATACAGGGATTCTGTGCTAATTATTTCCATAATTCTTTCCTTTGCCCCCAGAATAGTACTCAAAGGAGGGCATAGCAACACCATGAAGGTGGAAAAGATTAAACCATACAAGTCAGCTACAACTCTCACTCTAAATACTCTAACACTGCTCCTTGTCCTCAGAATCTGAGTTTCCCATCAAACTACAAGAGGAGTTCCATTCATAAATGGCCCAAAAAAAAGAGGTCCACATTAGAAAGAAATACCCAAAAGCACAGGAACAGAGACACCTTATAAAGCATATCTGAAAAATGTGGCAGAAATAGCCAAGGCAGCCTTCTTTGACATGAAAGTCTCAATTATTATAACTAATACTCTGTCCCAGTTGAATTAACCCAGAAACAGTGTAGCACCACAACTGTCAGAATTGTCAAGAAAACATCAGATATATTTACACAAAAATTTAAGTCTCTTAAAGGGAGAAAAAAAAAATCATTCGCATCCTCTCTTGTCTATGCTTATCTGGACATATCCTGTTTTTCTGGGATTTTTTTGTCTGCTTTTTTTTTTTTCCACAACCCTGACCACTACAAATTATTCAGTACAACATGGGAGCTCAACAACACAAGAGCTTTAGAGACTTTTTTTTTTTTTTCCCACAATCCTGACCACTACAAATTATTCAGTACAACATGGGAGCTCAACAACACAAGAGCTTTAGAGACTAATAATGTTCCCCATGAACACAGAGGCCTCTAGCAAAAGAATATACAATATGAAGCTGGTCATATTCTTCCTGGGCAGCAGTGAGCACTGCTGACCACTGTTAGAAATAACCCCTGTGTCCTAATGCTCTATGAAACTACTCAACAATAAACAAACATGGGCTTTCACACATTCCTTACCTGTGTGAGTGCAGAACACTCCACATACTTGACAGCCTTCAGATCACGGGCCAGCTTTTCAGCAGTCTCTGGAGTGATTGGTTTCTGTTTGTTCTTGGCAAGTTTCTCGATAGTGGAGGGGTCATCTCTGAGATCGATTTGGGTCCCGACAAGCAAGAAAGGGGTCTTTGGACAGTGGTGAGTTATCTCGGGCACCCACTAAAGAAAAGGTATTTTAAAATACACCTTCATTAATCCACAAGCCTCTAAAGCTATTTATGACAAGTCAACAGAAATTCTATAATGATCTTTTTCAGGGCAAGAATATGTGACCAACTTACCTTTTCTTTCACATTTTCAAATGAGGACGGAGAAACCACTGAAAAACAGACTAGAAATACATCTGTTTGTGGATAACTCAGCGGTCGTAATCTGTCATAATCCTCTTGCCCTGGAAAAAAAATTAGAGAGAAGTCAGCAACTGAATCTTGGTGTCCTCACAACATTAAAAATCACAAGTCAGTCAACACATTAAGCATGCAGCTTAACAGCACATTGATCATGATTATTTATCTAATAAAATAAATGGCTTTGTAATACAACATTTGGACAATATACTCATTTAGCTAATCCTATTTAATATGTCGAGCACTCAGAACAGCAATAAATTTGCTATTATATTATTTGCTTTTTTACCACTTTGCAGTTTTCAATCTTTGTGTCCATTAGTAACCCAAATATAGTGTAATAATAATAAACTGTTGCCAAAGAAATGGTCAAAAATCAATCCTAGTCAGATCTGGTTAAGAAACAATCACAACGAAACCATCTAAGAAAACAAAAATCTGGGCCAGCCCGGTGGCGCACTGCTATAGTGCGCCGCTTGGGAAGCGCGGTGGCGCTCCCGCCGAGGGTTCGGATCCCACATACAGACTGGTTCCCGCTCACTGGCTGAGCGAGGCGCGGGAGCAACGCTGAGGGTTGCAATCCCGTTGCCGGTCCCGGTCCGGTACGGGGGCGACACTGAGGGTTGCGATCCGTTGCCGGACACGGAAAAAGACAAAAAAAAAAAAAAGAAAACAAAAATCTCAGTGAAACCCAGCTGAAAAACTCCATTGCCCATCATGACTACAGAAGCAGGTTCACATGTTTAATGTGTGCACATAAAGCCAGTATGTGAAACTGAGAAGGTCCAGGGAAAAAAAATTGGCAAGAATCAATGGGATGCTCAAAAAGAATAAAATATTTAGGAATTAACTAAGGTGGTGTAAGACTTGTACAAGAGAAATTACAAAACACTACTAAAAGAAATTTTAAAAGACATACTAAATGGAAACATGTCCCATGTTCATGGATTGGAAGACTTAATATTGTTAGGATGTCAATACTACCCAAAACAACCTACAGATTCAATGCAATCCCTATCAAAATCCCAATGATTTTTTTTTTTTTGCAGATACAGAAAAACCCATTCACATGGAATCTCAAGAGATCCCAAATAGCCAAAACAATCTTGAAAAAGAAGAATAAAGCTGGAGAACTCACACTTCCTGATTTCAAAACTTATGAGGCTACAGTAATCAAAATAATGGTACTGGTACAAGGCAGACATATAGATAATGGAATAGATTAGAGAACCTGGAAATAAACTTTCAAATATATGGCCCATATTTTTGACAAGGGTGCCAAGACTATTCAGTGGTGAAAGGACACCTTTCAACAAACGATGCTGAGAAAACTAGATATCCACATGCAAAAGATGAAGTTGGACCCTTACCTAACACTATATACAAAAATTAACTCAAAATGAATCAAAGACCTAAATGTAAAATCTAAAACTTTAAAAATTCTCAGAAAACATATGCAAAAGCTTTGCAACATTGGACTTGGCAATGATTTTTTTGGATATGACACTAAAGGCACAGGCAACCAAAGAAAAAATAGACAAACTGGACTTCATGAAATTTTTAAAAATTTATGCATCAAAAGACATTGTCTACAGAGTAAAAAGGGCAACCCACAGAAAGGGAGAAAATATTTGCAAATCATATATCTGATAAGGGATTAATAACCAGCATCTATATAGGGCCGGCCCGTGGCTCACTTGGGAGAGTGTGGTGCTGATACACCAAGGCCACGGGTTCGGATCCCTATATAGGGATGGCCGGTTAGCTCACTGGGTGAACCTGGTGCTTATAACACCAAGTCAAGGGTTAAGATCCCCTTACCGGTCATCTTTTTAAAAATAAAAAAAAATAAAAAAAATAAAAAAACCCAGCGTCTATAGAGAACTCCTAAAACTCAACAAAAAACAAACCCAATTCAAAAATAGTCAAAGGACTTGTACAGACGTTTCTTAAAAGAAGATACACAATGGTCCACAAATACATGAAAAGATGCTCAATACATCACTAATCACTAGGGAAATGCAAATCAAAACTACAATGAGATATCATCTCATATTCATTAGAATGGCAAAAGAAGTATTAGCAAGGATGTGTGGAAATTGAACCTTTGTACACTGTTGGTGGGAATGTAAAATGGTACAGCCACTGTGGAAAACAATATGGAGGTTCCTCAAAAACTAAAAATAGAATTACCACATGATTTAGCAATTCCACTTCTGGACATATACCACAATACAATTAAAAGCAGCATCTCAAAGAGATATTTGTATACCCGTGTTCTTAGCAGTGTTATTCACAATAGCTAAAACATGGAAGCACTTCATAGCACCAGTCATTCATAATCACTTAAAACTAGAACCCAGGGCCGGCCTGTGGCTCACTCGGGAGAGTGCGGTGCTGATAACACCAAGGCCACGGGTTCCGATCCCATATAGGGATGGCCGGTTTGCTCACTGGAGTGAGCATGGTGCTGACAACACCAAGTCAAGGGTTAAGATCCCCTTACCGGTCATCTTTAAAAAAAAAACAAAAAAAAAAACTAGAACCCAAACGTTCAACTTGTAAATGGATAAACAATTTGTGCTATATTCATAGAATGGAATACTCAGCAACAAAAAGGAACTACTAGATACACACAACATGGATGACTCTCACAAACATTATGCTAAGTGAAAGAAGTTAAACACAAAAGACTACATATCATATGACTCCATTTATATGAAATCCTAGCAAAGCAAAACTGTAGAAACCTAGAGAGCAGATTTGCAGTTACCTGAGGCCAGGTAAAGGGAAGGGACTGAATGCAAAGGAGCAAAAAGAAACTTTTTAGGGTGATAAAAATGTTATGTATCAGTTGGTTAGAGCACAGACTTACAACACCATGATCATGAGCTCAGATGCTCATACCGACCAACCACCACACACACAAAAAAAAGTTATATTACTTAATTATGATGGAGATAAGCAAAATTCTCCGAACTGACACATTAAAATGAATAAACTGTCAATAAAGTTTTAAGAAGTACTGATTAAAAAATGTAAAGGCTTACAAAAAATAAGATTTGAAATTTGAAAATAAAACTTAAAATTAACTTTCAACCACAAGTAGCCATAAATTGTTTATCCTCTACATACAGATTGCCTCCAAGGGCACACAAAAACAGAAAAAAAAATCCCTCACCTATTATGAGATTATGGGTCATTATTTTATCACCTCTATTTCCCAAGTTTCCTCTAATACAAGGGTACTTCAAAAAGTTCATAAAATGATTCATATTATTTTTCAATTCTATTTTTCCATGAACTTTTAAGTACCCTCATATACCATTACTCTTCTAATTTTTAATTCATTAAGATTTTCTCTAAATTTAACTGTTTACTATTGTCTCTCCATTTCACGCTCCCAATTAAACCCAGACACTTCCTCAAAGTGCACTGTAAGAGCAATATGCCAGCTGGCAGACCATGACAGAGTAACTGATAAAATGCAGAAAGTTAAGAATTCCTACATATTAAAAAGGATACCTTTCTGAGATTTTTCTTTGGCTAACTGAGCTGATAATAAACGACTACATACAGAGAAGTCAGAAATAAAAATGTGCAGCCAGTGTTAAAACAAGTAGGAAATAACACTGAGGAATTAGGTACATTTAAGGAAGAAGTAATTTGTCCTTATAATTTAGAGAGTTGATAACAAATGTCAGTACTGTGAGCCAGATATTGGTTCATCCTCAACATATTTTCAGATGTTGTATAAAATAAAAAGCTATCTATCATAAGAAGCTATCTAAACATGTATTATACAGACACTTATGCTAAATAAGCCTTCAAATTGCAAAGTGATAACAATAAACACTATAAATGGTTTACCAGTTTACAACCTCGGGCATATTTAGGAAACTCTGGGCTTTAAAAAGGGGGAAGGTAGGGGTGAAGGGAGATAATCAGTAGGCATGCTTGCTATAAATTCATTCCCTTAGTCTCTATCCAACCACTAACACAGTCCCTAATTCTCTGCACGGTGCACATATCAGGGTTTTAATCCAATTCAGAGCTTGTCTAAGGAACTCTGCTCTCGCTTTACTTTATCTTCTACTACACCTTCAACCCAGGGTACTCCAAACTCCTATCTGCCATCCCAAGTCTGGGATTGCTCCTTGGTCTAGCATCAACCATCATTATATTCAATCTTGATAACTATTAACAAAAGGCAAGTGATTTACTAATATGCTAGTCTCCCAAAATGTCCAAAAAAGAAAGACGACTAGCAACTGTTATAGTTACAGATCAAAACATTATAAAAGACATTAAGTTTTTACCGGCAGTATCAAAAAGTCCAAGAGTATATGGCTCCCCACCAATCATAACTGTGACTGCATAGTTGTCAAAAACCTAAAAACAAAAACAATACAACACTGTTAGTGAGCAAAGGGAGGGTCAAAATGGTATAGGACAACTCTTAAGCTAAGGCAATGTTTCCCCTTCCTAAAACTTAATCTTCCCTTAGTCCGTCTTCCTTATAAAACCAACCTTGCCAACTAAATCCTTGTATGAGCTAAAAGTGACAGAAGATGTGCTCTGGGATGTCTGCTCTACCCCAGCAGCCTGAATAAAGAGCCACACAAGGTTTAGAGGTATCACAGGAACAGAATCCTCTAGCCACACAAAATGATTCTGTTCAAGTCTGAAACTTTGAGACAGTGTTGTACCTCAATGTTCACTCTGATTTCTAAGAAATCATTTCTTCACAGACCATTTCTTTTTAATCTAGAATTAAAATCTCCTAGATCTGTTGTATTTTTTTCCTTTCAGGGTCCCAGACAAGAAACGCTTGTTGCAAACAATCCCATTTGAGAGAAATAAATTCCCCTTCAAAGTACTCCAGGAAAGCCAAGAAAAGTCTGGCAGATTATCTGTTGGAAATTTCATAAATAATATTATTGAGTACAAACCACATGATCTAAGATATCTTCTCTGACTAGATGTTTTATTTGTAAATCAACCATAAAACCTTTAACAAACTCATGTACTAATATTGCTTGTACTAAGTTATTTGTGAAAATGGGGGGTAATGGTGCTAAGTGGGAAAAGACGCAAAACTAATTCATGGATTCTTTTGAATTAATTTACAATTGAAAAGCAAAATTTTCACATACAACTGCAATTTGTCAAATTACTATAAAATGTTTAAATTTAAAAAACTAAATAAAATTTTAAAAATAAAAGCAATGCAGGGCTGCCTGATTAGCTCAGTTAGTTAGAGCACAGTGCTATAACACCAAGGTCAAGGGTTCAGATCCCCATACCAGGCAGCTGTCAAACAAACAAATAAATAAACAAATAAAAGCAATGCTTTCCAGCTGGGAAAAGGATGCTACATTTTAACATCAGCCCTGCTTAACCTTTAGCTAATTTTCTGGTTCATGTTTTAATGGGTTGTTCAGGAGCTTGTTTAAATGTAAAGAGTGGAAGCAAGGGCATGGGGGAGATGGTAGTTAAAGGAAAGCCAGTTCTTCACAGAGAACAAAGTAATGGAATGAATGTGGTTAACCTCTCAAACTACACAGTTTATTTTAAGTCACACTTACGAAAAGGGACTCAAAATAGCCCTCCTTTACTGGACTGTTCATATACAAGACAGGATTAGGAATCAGAAAAGATGGCTTCCATTCCAAATTCTACTTATAGTAGTGTTTGACTATTTAGACTTTTTAGTCTCATCCCTAAATTCAGCCTGAATTCCTGTAAGAGATGGGTAAGATGATATGTATGATCTCATCATGCTCTAAATTTCTATTATTTTAGAATATAAACAGGTACTATGAGTACATTACTTGTGCTTCATGGTCCACTTATTTACCTAAGCAGGTTCATTTAAAATTGTCCTCTATTGCTACTCTTCCCCCCACCCATCCCTTTTCCAGAGATCCACATACAAGCACACATATAAAACACCCACAATCCCCATAAAATATAACACCAAATGATCAAACTCGTAAAACAGACTTAGAAATCATGTTTACAAGTAAATAACTTTAATGGAGACTGAAACACAAAAATTCTCATAGTTGTCATCACTCTGAAACAAAATCATGTATCTCTCTAAAAGTCCCCTAAAAGTTCCTTGCAACCTCAAAACATTTTCCATGGACACTGTCCCCAAATGGGCCAACTCAAAAATATGATTTTCTATTTAATTATATCTTCAAATTCTCCCCCTCCAAGAAACCTCACCTTCTTTCTACCTATACCCTTGGCCTAATTCAATTATTTTACCTATTTTGGGACATTATAGAGACCGTCAATTCCAACTGAATACAGGCTTTAACCTGTATTTACCTTCCTGATAATACTCGTATCTCCAAAGATGAACCTAAGGTACTCATACATTTACTTCCTTTTCACTTCCAAAAACATACTAGCCCCATATTAATCATACATAGGCTTCTCATAACCCCTAAAATAGCTCACTTAACAGAAGTGATTACTACCATGGCCAGCCAACTCCAACTTCCCCTCACCACTAAATGGACACATACATTTAACATACCACTGGGTTGGTCAAGCAACTTGAACCAAACACTAGATCCCCAAACACATTCTTTCACAAATGAGTGTTACTCTAAGTAATTTTCTCTCTCACTTCATTACCTTCCTTATCCCCATCTTCCCTTGACCCTTCCAAGGAGTTTATAAAAAAGCAACTTTGGGGATAACCCCCAAAGTTTCTGTTGGTGTTCTCATAACAAAACAGGTCTTCTCCGCCCCTAAGAACCAGTTTGGAGCTCTCTTAGTAGTAAAAGAACAACTCCACGAGATAAGGGGAGAGACATACTACTTTCTCTGAAGTTACAAGACCCGACATAGCATCCCAGGAGACCCTGAAGCACTGATCAATCATTGGCCAAGATATCAAAAAAAAAAAAAAAAAAAAAGTCACCTCATTCCAAGATGTAGGGCATACTTCTCCAAACTGAGACCACCACTCTTTAGAATCTTGTCTACTGGAGTTTTGCCTGCCAGCACTTCTTGCAAACCCTTGTGTCACCCCTTCTGACTTTCCACTGATTTTTTCAGCTGTTTAATTTTAAACTGTATATAATTTACCCAAGAGTAGTCAAGATCTTCAAAAACAGGAAACAAAGGCAGACAACAGAAAAATTTCAGTACACACAGAGAAAGTGTTTTCCAAAGGACAAATTTTAATACATTGCATTAACTAATGGAAGCCTTTATACTTACAGTCGGCACATATTCAGATGGAAATTTATTTGTTGTGTAGGATATCAGGAGACATGTTTTGGCAGTATCAAAAAGTCCAAGAGTATATGACTCCCCACCAATCATAACTGTGACTGCATAGTTGTCAAAAACAGTCGGCACATATTCAGATGGAAATTTATTTGTTGTGTAGGATATCAGGAGACATGTTTTACCCACAGCACCATCACCCACAACAACGCACTTAATTGTCTGCATTGCTGGCACAGTTTAGTATCCACTTTAAATATTTCAAATTTGATGTGGACCTCAGCTTCTCCACCGGGGCGTTGCCACCCTTGCTTTGAAAGATAGTTTCATTGGATACAAAATTCAAGGATGACAGTTATTTTCCCTCAACATTGTGGAGATATTATTCCGTGTCTTCTTGCTTCCCTGATTGCTGTTGAGGAGACTGATGTCATTTTCATTTATTCTTTCTTTACGGCCGATTATAAAATCTTCTCTGTTCTTCACGTTCTGCAGTTTCACTGCTTATATCTAAGCATTGATTTCTTTTTTCATTTTTGAAATACAATGTTTTTTTTTTAACTTGTCTTTTTTGAGATACAATTTGGAATTTTTTTTATTTTTCCTTCTTGAGATACAATGTGCTTCCCATTCTCCTTAAGTGATTGGATTCCCCTTACTGATATAAGTGTGAGGCTCAATTCTGGCCAGGTAGACACAGGGTAGTTTTAAAGTGATGGGAGCTGCTGGTAAAAGCTTGGTAGCTGATAAAAAGAAATAAACTGGATATCTGCTTCTGGCATTATGGATGACCTAGGGAGAGCTTTCTACACAAATGGCCAGGTACTAGAAGAAATATGTGGAGAAATGAAACTGTAAATTTCTTAGGGTAGTAGATTTATGGGTTGACTTTTTCCTTTAATTTTAACTTGTCCATGTGTTGATTTTTTTGTTTTTGTTTTTAAATTGCTTCATATTCTAAGACCGTTGAAGACATTTATCTAGATAGGGCCAAGACAGTAGATGTCTATAATATTGATTTATTTATTCTGAGGACTCTGAAAAATGCTTTGTTAGGTCTTAGAACTCAGCAGTACGCTCAAGAAAACATTTTTTTCCTGGTATATTTATAGATTTTTTAAATTTCTGTTTGTCATATTCCTCACTAAGCTTCTGGTAAAAGGAAACAGGTAACAATCAGCTCTGAAGCACATTTCAGAGACCAATTTTAACCAATAAATCTTGTTTAATATATCCTAGTGATGTAAAAAATGTCTAATGGCCAAAACTGAGGAATTAGAGATAAAAGTAGACTTAACCCAAACTTTGTAAATGGGTCTATATCTCTCTTATTTTCTGCTACTCATGGTCCTAAGTATTCTGGAATTGGAAGAAATCTTAGAGTTCATTTAATCTTCGTTTATTTAATCTTTGGTTGAGGACACTGAGTTGTAAAGAAGTTAATTAACCTGCCTGTGTTCACACCATTGGTGGCTGACCTAGGACCACCAAAGCCTTCTTATCTCCAATTTTACAACTCTACAGGAATAGTGACAGAGGGACAATAGGGCCGGATCCATATTTCACTTGTACTGAGCACATCTCATTATCTATTACCAGTTTTGTCATGTTTCTTCTATGTCCTCACTTTCTCTATACCTTAGGAACACGACATTTTACTTTCACTGTGGACAGTGCACACTGCTAGCTATCCAGAACACAGAAATTGTGTTATTTTTAACTTGAAAATATCTGATGTCAGAACCATACCTATGGATAAACATTATTAACAAAGGAATGGCCAAGTAAATTTTAAAATGTTGAGGAAGTACTCTGTTAATAATTAATGTCATACTAATTATAAACTCAAACTAGACTCACAAACCTCAAGGTAAGCCATACTTATTAGAGAGCTGGTCAACCTGCTCTGGCCTTGAACTTTGCAGAAGTCACCTAAGTTCTTTTTGCTCTGCAGTGGAGCTTAGCCTGTATGTCTAGTGGTAATGATTAAGTCTGTAGGGCAGAGCCTTAGACGGGAGGCAGGCAGAAGAGTTTCAAAGCACAGGCTTTGAAATCAAATGAAGCTGGGTTCAAACCCTGACTTGGGCACTTAGTAGCTGTGTGACTTTTAGCAAATAAAGCAGCCTCTCTGAGGCCTCGGTTTACTTACCTGCAAAATTATGGTAGAAATATGGATAGCAGAGGATGGTGTGAGGACCCAGTGAGGATAACATATACACTGTCCTTTGCATAACCCTCAGTGCGCCACCGGGCCGGCCCTATACTTACGTACTTTCTTTCCTCAACAAGCAGCAGGTTCAGTCATTCAGAGCAAGAACAGAACTAGCACAACTACTAGGCTGAAAAAACCTAGACAGAGAAATAGTAACTTGCTCAAAGTCACAATAACAAATAAGAGTCAGTTTTCTATGTTTCTCATTGCTGGTTGTCTCGACTTTTTAAGTGCTATTTTTCAAAAGTCCAAAGTGGTGTAATGAGCAACACAGTTCCTTTTATAAAGAAAGAGAAGAGGCTATACAGAAGGAGTCCAATATAGTATGCCAAGTATTACTTTGTGAAACACTTCCTTCAGGTGCATGTGCACACACAAGTGTATGTATATGTGGTACGTGAACTAAACTGCAATACAAAGGCCTCTGCTTTAAAGAACAGTTCATTTACCTAGTCTTAAAGCTACAGTTACTCAGGCTGTAACCAATAAGCAGCAGAGCACCACCACTATCCTCCCACCCACCAGTAATATATGAGCAACAGGACGAACTAGACAAAAACCAAGGTGATCCCCATCTCTGCAACTGTTTTAATACCAGGTTGCCTATCTACTAATTCAATACTCATGACACGAAGAATCCAAAAATCTACATCTTTGTAATGAAAAAAGTCACTCTAAATCATCCTGACTTATTTATAAGCGGATACAATTATTTTAGCTGATCTTACTGTAGTTTCTCCCTCCTAAGAAGCTGCCGATTACATGGGGCCGGCCCGTGGCTCACTCGGGAGAGTGTGATGCTGATAACACCAAGGCCACGGGTTCAGATCCCATATGGGGATGGCCGGTTAGCTCACTGGGTGAGCATGGTGCTGACAACACCAAGTCAAGGGTTAAGATCCCCTTACCAGTAATCTTTTTAGGAAAAAGAAGAAGAAGCTACTGATTACAAATGCACCCAAGATTATTATATTTCATCAATGTTCAGATACCTTCTCCTCACACTTAAACATCTCTAAAATCAGAATGTGTATTTATTGAGGGTTCCTTCCAATCATTATCAGCCATTTTCCCCCCACATTCTGACATCTATGAAATTGAGATAAATGAAATCTTGGATTCAATGAAATACTTTAACTGTTTTTCTAGGAGAATAAAAATGTAACCACCTCACATATACCTAGATTTTTAAGATAAAGTCCTATTTAAATCACACTCCTAAAGGGGTTACAGTTTCTAGATGGCTAGAGTTGCCACCTTATTAAACATGAAAATACAGACTCACCTAACACTGGTTTGGATACCATGCCTATGTGCTCCTATAGCGCCCTTCACAAGTCTTAAACATAAAGATTTACAAATGCCTATTAACATTTCTGTATATAACCTTATACCGTCTCACACACCACTATACTTCTAGCACTGAGCACAAAGACTAGCACGCTGTGACCTGCAGAATGGATGAAAAAAAATCACACAACCAAAGAATATGAAACTTACGTTAGGAGTGAATAACCTACAGGAAATATACACTCTCCCATTTCTCATCAAAACTATCTGAATTGTATTTCTCTTTCTTTCTTCAACTTCCTTTCATCTCTTTTCTTCCTTTTCTTTTTCCTATTATGCGCTAGAGAAACATTCACACTAATATAACATCAAAGGTTAAAGACACTGATCCCTTTATAACACCAAGTCAAGGGTTCAGATTACCTTTCCAGCCAACTCCCCCCCAAAAAAGATATTCATCCTAAATTAAACCAATTACTAGTTCAACCAAAAATTGTTTTCAAATAATGATAACGATCACACCAAACATTTATATATAGCACTTACTAGGTGCCATGTATTGCTCTAAACAAATTACACATATTCACATATTTCATCCTTCCAAAAACCCTATGAGGTATGTACTATACTATCCCTATTTTACAACTAAGAAAAGTGAGGCTTGGGCCAGCCCGGTGGCGCACTCGGTAGAGTGCGGCACTTGGGAGCGCTCCCGCCGAGGGTTCGGATCCCATATAGAGACCAGTCCGCTCACTGGTTGAGCGCAGTGCGGGCGCGACACCAAGGGTTGTGATCCCGTTGCCGGTCGCGGTACAGGCACGACACTGTGGGTTGCGATCCCCATTACCGGTCACGAAAAAAGACAAAAAGGCACTGTATACTCTACTCTTTCAACTACTAAGAATAATAAGGGTCCTTTGTCATTAGAGCAGAGTTATCCTATCTTCAGGATTTGTGAATGACACCTATAACGTTTGCCATATTCACAAAGACCAACAATATCAATTACTTAGTATATTTTATACTTAGCTAAAGATTTAACATCTGTGAAGTCACAAACTTGATGTTCTAATTATACACACACACATGAACATACAAATCTTATAATATGTATTAAAAACAAATAAATGCTATTACATGCTTGTGATTCACCTAAAATCATCTCATATGACACACTGGTATGCATGATACATGTAAATCCAGGAGTCAAAACTACTCTAGGTATTTTAAGAAGAAAGGGATTTAACACAGGGAATTAGGTATTTACAAGCCACTGGAAGTGCTGGTAGGCTAAAATTGGGGTTGGGCCTCTAGGATTGACTCCCATAAGTCTGTAGAACTGACCTTCCAAGGAAGCTCCAACCTCTGAGATTATCACTGGAACTACTGAATTCAGGAGTACACTGCTGTAGCTGCAGTCTAGGGATCCAGAATCTGCCACTGCTACTGTCAACACCACACCTGCTGCCAAAACCCACAAAACATGTGAATGGGCACTGTATATAGAGTGCAGCCTCAAATTGTGTAGTAATTCCCTCTCAACGTCTGGGAAGCTGAGGAACAGACACAGGAATGAATGCTGCTTTAGAGAAAACTTGCAACTCCATAACCTTTGCTTACCAGCAGAAAACAGCCAAAAAGGCAGAAAAATGGCCCCCATCTCATGAACACCTTTCAAATTTCACACAATTCTATACAAATGGTGGAAATGAATTTACATTGGGAACCTTAGCAACAAGGGAGTCTGGAAAATATGATTTTTAGCTTTCCAGCCTCTGAAATAGAAGAAGGCACACTGAAAAGA